TTTTAGCCTGGATTTGAAGGCAGAAATGTGCAGCTGGTATCTATTGACAATGTTATGTTCAACTGAGAGGCCAGGGAGATGGAAGATAATTTGTAGGAGATAAGAAGGCATGTGTATGTATGTATATGTACATGTAGTGAACACAAAAGGGGTCTGACGCTGGTGTTTGTGAGTGACATAAAAATAAACAAATGGTGTTATATATGAAATACTTTAACACAAACTGTAGCACAGAGGCAACTCCAGTGTCCAGACAGTCGGTCACACCACAAACACGGAGCGTGACTGTGACCTGAGTAAACAAGCAAACAGTGAGAGCTGCGCAGACCTTTTCTCTGCGTCCTGGCATCCTTTAACAGCAGCCTGCTTGGACTGGCTTATCAAGCCATCCAACCTTTTCAAAAAATCCACTGGAGTGAGGTCTGACGCCCTGTCTTTGCCATCGTCTTGCGTCTTCTCAGAGGAGTTCCCCGTGTGCCCATTCTGGTCAGCAGCAAAGCCCGCGTTGTCTTCTTCACTGTCCTCTAAAACCAGATCCACCCCGTTACTGCAGTGGTCAAAGTCCGACATCACGGGGATCGACAGGGACTTCTTCAGGAATATCGAGTCATTGGTGTACATCCTGTTTGCTCTTTTGATTTGCTCCATCTGGAAGAAAAGATGACCTCGTCAGCCTTTTTCCAAACTGAGCCGAACTAAAGTTAGTCTCAATTCATTGAGAAAAAACTGCTTAATAACGGTTCCTTTATTTCACTAAAATCATGAGCACTCTAATTAAATTGTTCATTCATGCATGGGTGTTTCAGGCAGATGACTTTCAGCACGCAAATTGGTAACAACTGAATAAATGATTTCATTAAAGTGCTGTCCTACTTGTGATTTTTGCTTTTGAAGATTCATTCATCATTATTTCTTTATTTTTTATTTATTTATTTAACAACTAAACATATTCGACACCATCCACTGCAGCTTGTGGGCATTTGTCTATATGTTCTGAGATTATCATAATTAATCAGCATGAGATGATGTGTAAAATTAGACTATTATTCATGTATGTGTGTCATTAAGTGATTATTAAATATCAGATGTGCTGGTATAAAGCAGGTAGACCTCCAGACTTGCAGCTAGAGCAAAATAATATATACTAGTACGGTTCAACAACTATGTTACTACAGTACAATGGCCACATGTCAAACTACTGACGCACAAACAAATAACACACAACCAGAAGAAAATGTATGTACATGTAGGCGTTGGATTTAAAACAAAATATATAAGATAAGATATTCCTTT